CTTCCGATTGGAAAAAAATTGTGCTGAATTATCTGGGTTTTTTCAGGTGAACAAACATACTTTAAAGATCTGACTAACATGAACTTTTCTTTAGAGTCATTATGATTTGAACATCACTCCTCAGAGGTACATGGTTAATGGAAGATATTTTTAGTTCTTCCATATCATGGAACCAGAGTAACTGAGGTGGATTCTTCTCAAAGGTCTTAATTTTTTATATGGGTGAATCTTGCAAATGATTCAGACTTACTGGCTGCTGTGACAACTGTGACCCTATCCTAGACCTTTTCTGGCTGAACTAACAGATGGCCACGTGCTGGCTTAAGATCAGAGGTTAGGCAACTGGAAATTATTCCTCTGTCATAGACAGGCCATTGCCTTCTGTTCTGTGACATTAAGTTCATCCTCTTATGGGAGGGAAAAGATCTATTTTTTTGGTTCATTTTAGATGTTAATAAGAGGCAAATGGTTTCTTCAGTGTTGAAGGAAAGTGTGTGATCAAAGTAAGTTTTGTTTTTTTTTTACTTGGTAGTTTTATTTTTTTCCCAGTGAAGGTTCTTTTGGATGCAGCTGGTTGGAAAATATTAATTAATTAATTAATTAATTGCACATTTCAGGTAATTAATTAATTAATTACTTGAAATGTCATCTACTAAGTTCTTGGAAAGTGTTGACTAATTGTGGACTACTTTGTGGTTATACCTGTATTGATTGCAATTTCTAAATTATCAGGATTCCTTAAACTAATAGATGGGTGCTTCTTTTAAACTTAAAGACTTGAACTAGCAAACTGCACCTGTGTTTTGGTGGGCAGGTTGTGCATAAATGTATCACAATGTCTTTCATGGGACTTATGATGACATATAAAATGCCAAGCTTTCTTTGATGTGTTTTGTGTTTCTTCACAGTCTCTCAACCAGCATGCTTTCGCTCTCTTCAGGCAGCAGCCCTGGTTCTCTTGCATCTAGTAGAGGATCTCTTGCTACCTCTAGCCAGGATTCTTCCACCTCAGCCAGTTTTACTGATCTGTATTATGAGCAGTTGGAACAGCTGGATTCTGAATATCAAAACAAAGTGGACTTTTTACTTTTGGAGGGAGCCACTGGATTTAGGCCTTCTGGCTACATCACCACTATTCATGAGAACGAGGTAGCAAAAACTCACAAAACAGATGCCACCAGTCGGATCCAGGCATTAAGATCATCCTTATCAGGGACACCCAAATCAATGACATCATTGTCTCCAAGGTCATCCTTGTCTTCCCCCTCTCCACCATGCTCGCCACTAGTATTAGATCCACTTTTAGCTGGAGATAACTTTTTGAGCCATATGGACTTTGAAGATACAGAAATAAATACAAGTTTTTCTGAACTCACTCTACATACTGGCAGTAGTGGCTATAGACTAGAAGAGCCTATGGCTGAGGACAAACATCGTGGCCAAGGTATAGTGACAATTCAAATGACTTTAAAATGCTTTATTAAAAATGTTTAAATGTTTTTTTAACAGCAAAGGAATAAGCTAAAAATAAGACATTATGAACTTTGGTTATCTAACTATATGTTCTACCTTTATTGGAAAACAAGTTGATAAGTTTAATTCATGTCCAAGAATGCTTTACTTGAGTCCTACAAGTGACTCTGTAGAATTTTAAAATTTTAGTGCCTAAGTAAGGCTGCCCAGTTCCCCACCAGCATAGTGGTTTGTCACTTACATGCACAAAACATAAATTTTATTACTTGTATTCAAAACATGGAATAAAGTATTTAAAATTGAATGCCCCAAAAGGACATATGGAGAAAAAAAACAGCTTGGTGTCTGAAATCTGTGGGGAGACTGGGGCAAGTTAGTCAACAGTTAAAAAACAAATGAAGAAAAACATCCTGGGAGAATGCTAGGTCTTGTTTTGCTCCCTGTAAAATCAGTGGTAGCACTTCCATTGATTTCAGTGGAGCAGAGATGGCTAGCTTGAGCTTTGAGCACTATCTGTTTTGATATCTTAGTCTCTTAGCAACAATAACTTGTTTAGATAATAAGCTCTGCAAAATAAAACATTTAGAAATACTGGAAGTTCTGGTAAATAGGTTCAATCCAAGAGTAAACATTTTCCTCTTCTGAACCTATTGGCCCTACATAAATGCATTAAGAACATCAGATAACAATTAGCACAATTGATCCATGAAGACAGAGCCCATGACCTCTTTGGATTCCCATTGATTTCAGTGGTGGTGAGACCTGTGTGAACAAAGTGGTTTTACTTGGTACTGTAGTGAAGGAAAAAAAAAAGTCATACTAGTGCTGTAGGTACCTACATATTAGGGTTGCGCGAAGCGCCGGGCCGTATTCAGTCTGATTCGGGGGACGGTGATTCGATTCGTTGCTTTGGATCATTGTTCTGATTCGTTTGAGCCGAATCTGAAGATTCGATTCCGAGTCAGAGAATCAGCGATTCAGACATAGACGCAGCTTTATATGTTCTTTCTACATACCTCAAGGTACCAGGTGCAGTTCATGTATGCTGAGATGATGGGGCAGATGGAGCATCCCACAGGAACATAGGGGGGCCCCCCACCAAAAGTACTTCTGGTCCACTTCCAGGTCCACAGCTGAGCGCATGGGGGACCCCCCGCTATGCTCCCATGGCTCAGCGATCGACCACGGGGGGACCCCAAGTGCTGCCCCAAACCCAGTTGCCAACCCGGGCGGGAGCAGAGGGGTCCCCTGTACACTCCATGGCAGACCCAGAAGTGGTGCCCCCACCTGAACTCCTGTGAGATGCTCCATCCCCCCCACCATCTCAGCATTCATGAACTGCTTAGTACCTTGAGGTATGTAGAAAGACCTCAAGGTCTTTGTCTATGTCTGAATCGCTGAATATCTCCAAATCAAATCAGAGACTTCCGATTCAATTCAGAGACATCAGTGGGTTTCCTGATTTGACTCGGATTCGGAGATTTGGCTGCTGAATTGGGCTGAATCTCCACCAAATTGAATTAGCGAACGAAGCTTTGCACAGTCCTGCTGCATAGCTTGCTGAATACTGCAGTAGAAATTGGGATGTATGTTGTAGACATGATGGTCTAAGAAAGAGACAAACAAAGCTCTTGGGTTAGAGGCAATATCTTGTATTAGACCAACTAATAACCAAGAAAGAAGAAATTTTACATCAGACACCTCCAGAGACAAAGTCTGCCTAATCTGCATATCACAGAGCAACTCTTTCACAAAAGGACTCTGAGCAACCCAGGGGAAAAAAAAACTTCCATGGTCTACCTCCCCTGTGCGAAATGAAGTTTCTTTTCTACCTGGGAGAACTTCTACAGTCTCTGAATTCACCTCAACCTGCTGAAGAGTGTTTGGACCTGAAAGCTTGCAAAGACAATTTTGCTGCTATTTAGTCGCTCTAATAAAAGATATCACCTCTAACCCAAGAGCTTTGTTTTGCAAAAGTAAATGGGTTTTGAGCCCTTCTGATGCTTCATTTCATGGATATCCTGAAAGAACTCTGTGATGTACAGGAACTAGTGAAGTGTGATCGCTATTTGTTTCCATCTTGCATCTGAAATTGTTCTCATTTGTAGGCTTCAGCTGACAAAATATTTAAAATTCTATTGAAGAGATGAGCTGAGGCTTTCCCCCTTCTCTGCGCTCTCCCATCCCCTTAGAAATAGATATGCTGGGATTTGAGTGTAAAGGAGCAATTAGTCCTGTTAAAACTGGACACTGATTAGTTTTCACCTTTTGAGCACTTCAAGATTTGTCAAGGCTATTAAAGTGAAAGCTAAGGTGTTAAGCAGATTAAGTGATTATCGCTATTATTCAGTCAGCAGACAAAATAATCACCATAAGTAGTTTATTTCAGGGGTATAATGAGCAGAGGTTTCACTTTCTAGGCATTACTCACAATTGAGTGTAATGCTAAAATGGTGTGGCTGATAGTTAGTACTTGGCTTCAAGGGACAATGTCTGCTCACATGTTCTTACAAATAGAATTAAAGTATATCTCTGAGGGTTGGGGGGTTTTTTTGTTTATTTTCTTTTAACAACCTGATGAGGTTTTTGCTGCTTTTATATTTAAATGTGCTTCCTCTTTTAACATTAAGAATGGTGGTTTAGGTTCCATCTGTATTACTGGTAAGTTTCAAACGTGGAGCGAGTGCATTGGGCCATAGCATGACCTAAATGCAGAGTAGGTCCACTAGTAGGACCCCTACTAGATGGGCATAAACAATTGGTGACAGACAGGGGGGACAAGGCTGAACTCCTCAATGAGTTCTTTGCCTCTGTGTTCCTAAGTGAGAGGCAAGACAAGTCTCTCACTGGGATTGTAGAGAGGCAGCAGCAGGACGCCAGACTACCAAGCATAGACCCTGAGATGGTGCAGAGGCATTTGGAGGAACTAGATGCGTTCAAGTCGGCAGGCCCGGATGAGCTCCATCCGAGGGTACTGAGGGCACTGGCTGAGGTCATTGCACAGCCACTGGTGGGAATATTTGAACACTCGTGGCACACGGGCCAGTTGCCGGAGGACTGGAAAAGGGCCAAAGTGGTACCCATTTTCAAGAAGGGGAGGAAGGAGGACCCAGGCAACTATAGGCCAGTTGGTCTCACCTCCATCCTTGGCAAAGTCTTTGAAAAAATTATCAAGGCTCACATTTGCGAGAGCCCAGCAGGAAAAATTATGCTGAGGGGAAACCAGCATGGGTTTGTAGCAGGTAGATCATGCCTGACTAATCTAGTCTCTTTTTATGACCAGGTTACAAAACACCTGGCAGGAGTAGGGGTAGATGTCATTTACTTAGACTTCAGGAAGGCCTTCGATACGGTATCCCACACCATACTGGTGAACAAGTTAAGAGGCTGTGACTTAGATGACTGCACGGTCCGGTGGGTGGCGAATTGGCTAGAGGGTTGCACCCAGAGAGTCATAGTGGATGGGTCGGTATCGACCTGGAAGGGTGTGGGCAGTGGGGTCCCGCAGGGCTCAGTCCTTGGACCGATACTCTTCAATGTCTTCATCAGCAACTTGGACGAAGGAACGAAGTGTACTCTGTCCAGCATACCTACTGCCTAGGAAATGACCTGCTTGGTGGCATGGAAGCAGAAAGGGATCTTGGAGTCCTAGTGGACTCCAAGATGAACATGAGTCGGCAGTGTGACGAAGTCATCAGGAAAGCTAATGGCACTTTATCGTGCATCAGCAGATGCATGACGAACAGAACCAAGGAGGTGATAATTCCCCTCTATCAGGCACTGGTCAGACCGCAGTTGGAGTACTGCGTGCAATTTTGGGCGCCGCCCTTCAAGAGGGATGTGGATAACCTGGAGAAGGTCCAGAGAAGGGCCACTCGTATGGTTAAGGGCTTGCAGGCCAAGCCCTATGAGGAGAGACTAGGGCACCTGGACCTCTTCAGCCTCCGCAAGAGAAGGTTGAGAGGTGACCTTGTGGCTGCCTATAAGTTCATCATGGGGGAACAGAAGGGAATTGGTGAGGCTTTACTCACCAAGGCGCCCCTGGGGGTTACAAGAAATAATGGCCATAAGCTAGCAGAGAGCAGATTTAGACTGGACATTAGGAAGAACTTCTTCACAGTTCGAGTGGCCAAAGTCTGGAACGGGCTCCCAAGGGAGGTGGTGCTCTCCCCTACCCTGGGGGTCTTCAAGAGGAGGTTAGATAGGCATCTAGCTGGGGTCATCTAAACCTAGCACTCTTTTCTGCCACGCAGGGGGTCGGACTCAATGATCTACTGAGGTCCCTTCCGACCCTAACATCTATGAATCTATGATGGGACTCGGCAAAATTTACCCCTAGAGAAGTCAATGAGGACAAATTCTGCCCATTGCTTCTATATTTCACAGTTTCAATTGGCTTTGAAAAAGCAATTGTGCATGAGTGATACTGGGGATTAGTGTGATAGCCAATCTTTAGATTCATATTGGCCTTTCATGTATGACTCGAGTACTGTTTTAGAGTCTGCAGCCCTGTCAGGGAGTGGTACAAGCTTCTTACAGGGAAGATACCCCATCAGGGATATTGTAAGGCACAGAGACCCAGTTCTCTTTGATTCAGTTTCTGATTCTGGGAATGGTTCTGTTATCTTTATAAATCAGGAAATTTGTGCTTGAGCTGCGTATTTGGTATTAGTGGTGATTTTACAAAAGAGGCATAATGGTATCAGATAGAGTTCTGTGTGCATAGTAATAATTGAACTTGAAGTCATAAAAAGAACACACAAAGATTAAAAAGTAATCTGCATTGTTGGTAACTTTCTTTCACTTTTATGGGCTGTATTTGAATGAAAAATAATCCAATTACATGATACATTCTATATACTAGTTTCTGGCCCTGTCCTGACAAAATTACGTCAGGGATTTGATACAAAGTCTGAAATGAACCTAGAGAAAAATTCTCTCCTTTTCAGGTTCATTGTGAAAGGCATCACTCCGCCAACATGGTGTCCCACTCTTAGAGGCAATGGACTGACAAAAAACACAGCAGAAGATTTATTTATATTTTGATATTAGATCTAGTTCGTTTGTAACATCTCTAATATTAGGTTCATATTATTTCAAAGTCAGCACATGTTAAATGGTATCACATGGAAAAATATATAGGTACTATATTCTGTCAGATGAAATTTAAAAGCTGTGTTGGTCCATCAGTTTTTAGACAGAATTCCCTGCTGGAATTCAGTGAGGACCATTGACTGTCTAAATCTTTAAAATAAACTTTCCGAAGCACTTACTCTGCAGCTTCCTGCTCATGTGACTAAGGATTTGCAGGGCTGGACCCTAATTCCTTCAGTATAAAAGTCCAAAAGTCCAGTGTAGGTTAGAAATGCATTAACCAGTCTGGAAGAGTTCTGACTGAACCTTTCTTTAGATCTAAGAATGTCCAGAGAGCATTTTCCCACGTTGTTCAGCATTGTGCAGCCTCTGCACTACTTGTGTCCGGCAAGGTCAAGGGCATTTCCATATACAGCCAACGGCTTCACAGTGTTTCTGGCCAAAACAGCAGCTCAAGGTGCCAGTCTTCTCCTGAAATCACTTTTAGTAAGATGCTCTGTCCTGGCATAGATAAATACTCAGATCCAGTGCTGTAGTAAGGTGGGGAGGGGAGGGCAGGTGACCACCCTGAGCGCCAAAGTGAAAGGGTGCCAAGAGGCACTGCCCAGCCGGGGTGGAACACGGGATGGAGCCACGAGCAGCTCTTTTGGGAGGGCTCAGGGTTGGGGGAGAGCGGCTTCTGCTGCTGTGTGCACTCCTGGGCAAGTATGGGGGAGCATGTGCCCCCCAGATCTGTGTGCAAGGCAAGGGTGGGCTGCCACTGTGGGATTTTCCCCAGGTGCCAAACTTCTTTGCTACTGCACTGGTCAGATTCTTGAACCCTGTCTGAAGCCAAATCTCTGAAATGTTCATCTTTTAAAATGGTTCCTAAATAATTATCTCAATTTTATATTGAGTTAGTAGAGAAACATTATCTACTAGTACATGTTACTGTTTTTTTTAAAAAAAACCTCTGACACGTAACTCTTTTAGGAGTTGGGCTGAGTGCCTTTTCATGTGTTCCCCATTAACTGAGGAGGTTTATTTTTAAAACTTTGTTGGCTTCTTGGGTTGTGGAGCAGTCTGGGACTGGCATTCACAGACAGTCCTGACTTTATCAGCTCCATTACACTAACTCTGAATGGGAAACCCTTTCTTCTGGGAGTGTCCCCAGTTGTGTATCAAAGCCCACAAAGATATTTAGAGACTTCTCTATTACAGGTGTCTCTACTACATCCATTTTCCATAGCACTCAACACCAAGTATCTAAGCAGGTGGCCATAATATTTAACTTCCTATTTTACTGATTTTTTTAATGTAATATCTAGGAACTTCCCAGACAAGAGAACAGGATCCATATCCTGAAAAACCTGATGCAATTTTTGCTTTCAGCCTACCCAGGGCTCCCCCCCCCCCCTGCCACTGTGGTTCAGTCCCATTTTTTTGGCCTGCCATTGCTGAGTTCCAGCTAAGCAGTTTTCTTCATAGAAGTACAAAAAAAAAAGGATCCATTTTGAGCACCAAAGACCTGGCATGTAGCCCTCCGAATAATGTCTGGCTTTGGACTGTCTCTGTTCAAGGAAATTTGCATTGGTAACACAAGACTGTAGCTCCTGCCACCTGAAAGAAGTTGGTATCCAGAATTTGTATGTAGAAGAAAGCAGAAGCAAAATGAAATATTTTAATAGAATTAAGCATTCTTTCCCAATGACAGGGAGGGAGAAGAAGGGGAAAAAATGCAATGGGACCAGTTTGCAAAATAATGCTCTCTCTCCAAAGCAGAAATAGTTCTGTATATAGTGGTTCTAAATAAAATTCTTTCATCCTTTTTGGCTACAAGGCACTCAGCTGAAGTGATCCAAAACAGAAGCTTTATGGGCTGAAGTGTTCACATGGCATTGGTTAATAGAAGGGAGAGAAAAAGCTCAAGTGGACAGGGAACAACTTGTGGTGGTGTTGTTTAACAAAGAAGTTTTTTAATACAAAAAAATCTAGCTTTACATATACTGGGAGCAGTACATGTCTGAACTGATTTGAGCTATAAAGCAAGTCAGGAGGGGAAAATAATTTTCATATTAAAAGCTTTGGAATAATGAACACATAACAGTAATACAGAGAGAAACAGAAAACTTAATCTTGGCAACCCTTATTTTCAAAGAATGACTAGATAGGGCTTGCTTCCATACCTATAAGGTGCATTTACATGAGACACTTTAATACGCATTAATTTAATACCCAGTAAAGCATCACCTTCTATACATGTGCAACAATACCTGAGCAATATAATAGTCTAATGCACCATTTTCTAGTACCTGTAGGTACAGGTACTTGAAAAACGGTACATTTAACTAATGCGCCATACCACACGTGTAAATGCTGACCAGGATCAATTTGCATCCGGTCAGCCTAGGCCACAGGGGACCACAGGGAGCGAGGAGAGCTGTTGCGGGCGCTGAACAGCTGCCTCCCGGGCATGTGGACATTAGGGCAATCTCATTCTCCCCGTAGCTGTGACGGAGCTGCCCACAGAGCCAGGACAGCTCCCCCACCCTCCAGAGCTCAGTGCTAAGCCCCCTGGTACCGTCTGCCAGCCCAGGGCTAACACCCAGGGGAGTGGAGCTCCCCCTGCCTGCTGCAGGGGGGCAGAATAGGGCAGGAGCAGCCTGTGCTCAACTTGCTCCCGATGGGGGCACAAGTGTAGATGTGCACTGGGGAGTACTTTAATGAGCCTGAATTTTCTTCACAAAAATTCAGGTTCATTAATTTTACGTGTAGACATGCCTACTGGGTAGTTCTGTGTGCTTCAATTGGATACAATAGGAGTAAAGCCTCTAATGATGGCACAAGATAAATGTTTGAATGTAAAATACAGTCCTCAAACTTACTGTTTGGCTTTTTTCCAATTAATGACTGATCTCTTATGTTGTGAATGTTTTCTAGCTAGTTTTTATGTGCTAAGATTTATGAAAATGTCAGTAAGAGGGGAAAAAATAGAAGGATACAGGAGAAAATATCCCTAAGCCGCATCTTATAAAAAAAAAAATAACATTTTGACTATATAGTCCTCAGCTGAATCTCTGAAAAATTAATCTATTTTAATTTATAGGAGTTGCCTATATTGCTCTCCTTGTTTTATTGTAAACCAGTTTCTCTTATAAATCTTGTTACCTTCTTATGACTTTCTATAATACTCTGGCTTAATTTTTTTTTTTTTAACTTGCTCTCTCCTCTGTCCTTTTCTCTTGTTCATTGGATTTGTAGTTTTCACTTATCTTCCCTGCAAGTAAATTCCAGCTCTAGCAGCCTCCTTAGATACATTGTTCAGCCAGAGCCCAGTTGTTCAGGTTAACAGGTTCTTTTGTTCTGCATCTTCCTCCAGATGGAGTGAATGATACCATCAAGACCTTGTCTAACCATGGCTGACTCGCTATACCAAATAAGAGTTTTAGTTGTACTGCAATTTCATAAAATTAATCAGCACTCATAAATTGCACAAGGAAATATTATCCAAATCATCACAGATGCCAAACTGCCTTTATGCTTCCCTCTCTACCATTGAGTGGCTGCTTGGTGGCTTCAGTATATTTACCAGAGGATGACCATCCCTATCACAATCAGTACAATTGGTATTGTTGCCTGCAATCATATTGGCACTCATAGAATAGGATTCCAGGATTAAGCAGGCAATGAACTTCCTCTTTAGCTCAAGTGGTCAGAGTTGAGGCACCCTGTCAGGTAAAGCCTGGGTTGTGCTGCAGTGTCTGGTCTGACCATGTACGTCCATGTAGAGAAGCAACTTTCCCTTCTGCTGCTTATGCTGTTCCTGCTGTTTGGCTGAAGAGACACTTTGACAGCCTTGGAGACTAAGATCTGGCACCATTTACCAGCACTAATTTAACACCAGATAAGGACTTAGATCCCAGACATGAGACATTCCACTTCCATCTGAATTCAGGAGCCTATTATCACTTGATGACCCTTGACTGCACAGGGTAGTTGTTGATGCTGCCATCTCCTTTTCATTAACGCTTTTGTTTTTCCTTCTTGCATTTTCCGATAGGTGTAAATACAGTTGGAGGGGCTGCACTGAAGGTGGCATGCGTGTCAGCTGCCGTGTCTGATGAATCTGTTGCTGGAGACAGCGGGGTATATGAGGCATCTGCACAAAGGTATAATCTAGGTCTCTGTGTAGTACATTCCCATACATATGCTGATACTAAGTCAACATTGTCAGGTGCTATTTTATTGTTGTCTGCAGGTCAGTGATTAAGGCTTTCCAAGATTTTAGACCATTTCTTCAAAAATTATAAAGAGGCTGAATTATACTACAATGCTTTGTGAAATGAAAGTTTGTTTTGCACTGTGAAAGCCACTATTTTTCTCCATGCCAATTGTCATAGGTTGAAACCTTGTGGAAATTATCAGCTGAATTAAGTTAAGCAATTTCTGGGAATGAGGCTATTGGAAAAATGTTGTTCTCATAGGATCATAAAAAGTAAGGCAGGAAGGGACCTCACAAGATCATCTAGTCTAGTCCCCTGTTTATGGCAGGATCATCCCTGACTAAGCTGTTTCAGCCAAGTGTCTGTCCAACCCGCTCTTGAAAATGTCCAGGGATGAAGGTGCCATCGCTTCTCTAGGTGCCTGTTCCAGTGTTTGACCACCTGCGTAGTCAGAAAGTTCCTCCTAACCTCCAACCTATATTTCCTCTGTTGAAGCTTGAGGCCATTACACTTACTCCTATTCCCTATGGCCACAGAGAAAAGCCCATCTCCATTCTCTCTGTTATAGTCCTTCAGGTATTTGAAGACTACTATCATACCCTCCCCCAGTCTTCTCCTCGCCAGGGTAAATAGCACTGTTCTTTCAGCCTTTCCTCAGAAATCATGCTTCCCAGGCTGCTAATCATTTTTGTCATTCTGTGCTGGACTTTCCAATCTGTCCACACCCTACCTGCAGTGTGGGGCCCAAAACTGGACACAGTACTTCAGGTGTTGAACAAAAGTGAATAGAGTTTTGCCTTTGTTAAAAAATATTGTTAATCTCAGAACAGGAATTATAAATCTGGCAGAGGAGTGGCCTTCATGTCAAGGGTTTGTCTTTTGTTGTCATGTAATTTTGGGTGAAAATACACCCAAGTTTAGTCAAGTTTTTAATACTTTGAAAAATCAACGTTTGCATGTGCTCAGTAGAGACTTTCAGAGTTTTATGCTGAGTATGGAAATTTAGATATGTTCCAGCCTGTAAGTGAACAGGGTTTCCATGCAGTCACTATTCTGGGCATCTTATCTGATAGCAGGTAGCGTGTCTCCTATGCTTTCAGTGACCCTTCTGCTGGACTTGAAAAAAACAAAGTGCCCGATTGAAATGCAGAAGTGGCAAGCAGAACTTGTAAGGGAATTTGATTACGGCAGGGTTGGGACTGAAGCCTGACAAGAGAAGAAAAGGAACTGGAACAGTCTGGGGAGAGTGGGACTGAGAACCAGTGGGGTATGTTGAAAGCAGTAGTGCGGCTGAGGATGGTTGGTCTGAAAAGACATTGAGCTGCAAAGAGGGAACTGAAACTGTCTGAGCAATGAATTGCTAATGAGGCAAACACTGGCACTAGATGAGGAGGCCAGGGAGGGAGTCTGGCAAGGGCAGGCATGGGATGGCAACCAGAGCCAGAACAGAGGAGAGAGAAACTGAGTTTATGAAGAACTGGAACCAGGGGATCCAGTATTGGTGTGGGCAAAAGACTGGTTCTAAGGAACTAGACAGCAGTTGATGGCACACTAGTGAGAGGGAAAAGGGGGAGGTACAAAGGAGTGAGACCGGGACTTGCTGTGGCCAGAGACTAATACTAGGATAAGAAGGCAAGGAGCAGAGACTGGAACTGGGTAGGAGAGGAGACTTGGTTAAAGAGGGTGGGGAAGAAAATGGTCTGGGACAAAGCCAGCTTAGATGGGCAGGGCATGAAGCACTTTAGGAAACGGAAAGAAGAATCTGTGTCCATATGCGAATGTCCCTTCAAATACTGGCATGGAACAATGAAACCTTACGTCTTGCCATTCCTTTTTTGTCAGCAAATACCTGAAACCCTCTAGCAAAGTTCCTGTATCCTCTTGCCATTCTGCAGTGGTGGTCCCACCGAGTGTGACACGCCACCACTCATAACCGTTTATTCCATCTGATCAAATAGCAAAGCTTTATTTGGTGGATAAGAAGATTCTAGTCCTGCTCGTGACCCACAGGGTGCCACATGATAGTCTTTCAGTTTTTTCATTCAAGCCTAAGAAATCACACACAGAAACTATCTTAATGTTTCCATCTTAATAATGTTAAGTACCCAAAATGCAGGGGATGCTGATTGGCAGAGAGGGACAGGGACACAGAAGTCAGCCCTTTCAGCCAGCCAGCAGCGGAGGAGAGGTGGGTAGTTGCCATCTTAGCTGCTGTCTTTCATGCTGGCACCTCTCTCCATTCCAGTGGGGTGCAAGCCTGGGCTGCTGACTCCACCTGGGGAGCCAGCATTTCATTTTTACTAATTTTTTTCCATGCAAAATCATAGGAAATGCCAGTTTTCACGGTGATCGCAGAAATTGCCTTTTCCTGTGGTTTCCCTGAAAATCATGAATTGTGTAGATAACTATGCATATACAGTATTGACTTCCATGAAAAGCTACTTTTTTCTTCACAGGGCTACGTGCTGCTCATTTAATGAACAGCTATGCATAATTTTATTTTTTTCTCACTTTTCATTATATGGTTCTTTTCTTAGTTTCCTACATACTAAACTAGTAGGAACAATTCCAACTAAATCTAAATTTTGCAGAAAAGCTGTTTTTATCAAAACTGATACAATTGCAACAAAGTTTTTTTGTGAGGAAGGTATTTTGGATCCAGGCTTCATTCCAGTGCAGCACAAAAGCAAACTCTAAAACCTCCAAATTGCTGCAAAACAGTATTGTGCTCTAAACAGCACATTTGCAAATACTGTTTTTGGTTGTCCAGTTTGGGATGTCCTATACCTGTATTTTTGGACAGTACTTAAACATTAAGAGCTACGTAATGCTGAAGTTCAGTTCCTACTATCTTTAGTAGGTATAGATATTCAGCATTTCTGTGAATTAGACCAGAGGGTCTAAAGTCAGGTAGCCAAAAGATGAGAATTACCCAGTAGGTAGCCACCTTTGAAAAAAATTGATATTAAGTTAATTACCTACCATCATAGAGGAATTTCACTGGCACAGGCGATCCAGTTCAGGACATTATGCAATTGCCTTAACTATAAGACTGATACTGTCATTCTGCGATCCCCTATTTTATTCACTCTATCTTCCAACTTCTGAAACACGAGAGAGGGTCCTACAGACAACAACCTCACTATACAACCCTGATTTATTTTGAGAACAGCTCCATCCTTTGCATTGAATGAAGTAGTAAGCTGGCAGAAAAGAACTGTTTACATGATCATGTAATGAAAGCTGTGTCCTTATATATATACAGAGGTTAATTTAATTTTAGTATTTTCTGTCATTTGAGTTCTTCACTTGGAAGCGTAATATTTTTTTAACCTGGTTTTTGGGTGTGTAGTGTAGATTAGAAAGGGAGATGCATCTGAGCCAGTATTCCAAAACTGCAGAGAATTTTAGGTAGTGCTAAGTAATTTGCACCCTTTAGAATATTTGTTGATTTCAGCACTGAGTTCATTAACACACAACACGTGTAACGCTGGATTTCATAGAAAGTGTGTACTTAAGCTTTGGGCATGTTGCAACACCACTGCTATAATCCTGCTGACTCTATGTTAGCAATACATTAAAAATGTCAAAAAGAAGGTCAACAGACTTCATTTTCCAACTTAGTTTTGTGCACATTTGAAAATTTTAGAGGTGGGGAAAAGACCAAATGAGCTGTTTTAGAAAGGATTAGTTAAACACTGCAGTGTAGTAACTCAGACCTTTCTGTTAAACTATTAGAAAAGAATTGTCTATATACAATCCTGATTTTTTTTTTTTAATTTGACTGTTTTTGCTGCCTTGCATTAGAGACCCCAGTATAGCATTTACTATCTGACTTTCTGTTGCTTTTGAGAAATTAGCTGCATTAGCCATCCAAAGTGCTCCAATACACACCCCCTTTTGAGAAGGTCTCTTACACATAGCCATTCCCTGTTAGCTGGCCCCAACTAGTGCTATAGAGCTCCCCAACTGGCATGGAGGAATTTGTGAGGTAGCTTTCACTCCCTGATTTGTGGTTCCCTGTCTATTGCATGTCTGTTGGCAGTGCCAGGGTGGGGGCATGTGACTTGCTTGCTATTATGTAGCTGTGATACGTTCACTGGAAGGTGTTTATTGTGCTTTGCTTTTCTTAGCAGGATTTTTTTAAAGTTAAAAAGTGCTAACCGCTTTTAACAAACCAACATGCCCATTCCCCTCCAAATTTTGTGTGGAGGGGAGAAAAACATGTGGCACTAGAATTGCCTACATCTTCCTGAAGCTCCAGCAGGCCCTTAATTGTCCTTGGTTCCTTTCAGGGCATGTGTTTCAGAAACGATGGTGTTTGACAGTGATGATATGGAAGCAGCTGGGACTGCCAAAGTGCAAATTGCTATGAAGTAAGCTGGGTGGCTATCCTTGAGGGTCTTTTCTCCCTCTCCCTCTCCCTCTTGTACCTGCTTTCATATTTCCTTGATTAATCTCTGTGCAGCTTTATGAACTGGACACTTAGGGTCTGATTCTCCTCTCATTAATGCAGTGGAAATAGTGCTGCATGCTGGTGTAAATCATCAGTGAGAGAATTGAGACCCTTTGTCTTCTGGTTTTATTCCTGGATTAGAAATGAATAAGGATTTGTTCTCTCAAACAGCTTACTTCCCTTCTGGGCCAACTAACAGTATAACCAATAACAAAACTGACAAAGCTGGCCACCCCATCTGAATATCAACGGTAGCAATAAATGTTATCAAGCAAGGTGGGCATAGAGGAGGGTTGACTGAAGTGCCTTGTGAGCTCCTCAGATATAGCAATGAAGAAAATAGCTAGCATAAGACTATTTGATTTTGTTTAGCTACTGATATCAAGAACTGTAAGTTCAGCTTCAGAATGTCTCATTCACTGAGTATCTCAAAGCATTATTTATGTCTTCTGATACTGTTTTTACCTTAAAAAATAGCATCTATATTAAGGTCTATGTAAAATCCTGTTAGGATTATTATTGCTAAATTCTAGTACAACATGGTAACACCAATTTAACATTCTGGTTTAAATCTGTTATCTATCTCATCTGAATGTTTTGGTCCCTTTATATGTGCACTAGTTGCAAAAATGTTATGTGCTACTAAAATGCAATTGACTCAATTGTATGTAACAATCTATTAGAAACAATAATTTTCACACTCGCATGGGTAGTCGTCTCGTCTCTTGTCACATTTTAATATCTGAGTGCAGCAATTGTTTAAGCCTGAAAATCTGAATGTGTCTGAAAAGCACAACAGTTATTTCATTGTGTTAAAGGCAGTTTTATCATTACAAATGTGATTATTCATATTTTTACAATTAATTTAGGTATGATGACAAAAATAAACAATTTGCAATATTAGTCATCCAGCTGAGTAACGTTCCTGCTCTGCTGTTGCATCAAGATCAGAAAGTGTAAGTAGTTGAAATAAACATACTAGAAATATTTGTAATATAGACTTCAGTGGGATCACACACTGTTTATTTTTCTAGTTCATGTAATACTTTAGTCCTCTAAGCACTTCCCTATTTTATCTTATATTTACTATCACTTATGAGCTCCTTCACCCATATATCAAAATTAAAAATTCACTTTTACTTATGATGATGTTTGTTAATCTTCCTTAACTGTATATATATTTACTACAAAAAGCTTTTATGGAATTAACATCTAACAGTGCCACTGAGTAAGGGTGACGTTTGTTTTACAATATAAGTCATGCCTGAACACATTTACAGATGAATTAATGTGGGAAAAATTTGACCATGGAAATTTGTCAAACTTCAGCATGAGTAGAACCAGATAAAGGCTTTGCTAATGGCTAATTTAGTCTCTCTATAAATTAGAGCTAAAAGGATCCACAGCACCTTATGGACTTATTTCCATCGGTGTAAGGTGATGTTACTAGTATGTCACACTCACTGCACATGTATAAATTATTAGAAGAATCTTGATCTCACACTTACCAAGATACCTGTATAACAAGAACTAAAGTGGGGTGAAAACCAGGAATATAGTTGCCACCTTCACACTTTGGTGGTTTCTGAACTCCCTGGTGTAACTCTAAGCATCCTCAGGACAAGTCTAACCCAGAAAGTCCATCCGAATGCAGAACATTCTAGCAATTCCTATAAAGGGGGAATGGATTGGACAGGAAATACAAATGGTGAACTGATATATTGATAAGTGAACAAATTACAGTGAGTTAGAAGTGGGTGGGGATTTGTTATGTTTCAGTTGTTCTGTGGCAACTGTTCATGTACTTTCTTACCCCAAGATAAGTGTAAGCTAATCCTTGGCTGCTTTGCCTTTGTATTGGGCTGCTAAGCTATAGTGGTTTAGCTTTTACTCTCTGTGGAGAAAGAGTGAGCATCTAGACAGTTCCTGCAGAGCAGATGAGGCATGGCAAGTCCCTGTCTTAACTTACTGCAATTTGCCCAGATTCCTAGAGTGAGCTACACTCACTTCTCTACACTGAGGATTCACTCCTACCTGATTGGGGCAGGTGTGTGGTCCCTTTGTACTGTCTATTATAGCTTACCATGCAGTGGAGACCTTGTGGGGGTTTTTTACCCCGTTGTGTCTAATCTTTGCACTAACAGAACTTGTGAGTTGAATTTCTTACTTGACATCTCCTGTGACTAATAAATTATATACACCAGGGGTGGCCAAACTGAAGCACAGGTGCCACAAGTGTTACAAGGACCCTCTGCATGCAGTAGATTGGAGAGGGGACAGGCAGCACAAAGGTAGATGGGGCAGGAAGCAGAAAGCAGAGCAGCAGCTTGGTTGGGAGCACAGGGAAAGGAGCAGAAAATGGAGCAGCAGATCTGGTAAGGGAAAGATATTGGAGGGGTGTGTGGGAAAGGCGTGGAATTAGTTTGTGGTATGCTTGTCAGAAAAGTTGGCCATGCTGGTATACACTATCTACTAGTATACACTGGGGGATGCACTGTTCTCACAGTAGATTGTTTAAAGATAAGCTCATAATAGATACTTTACAGAAGGCTTATAGCAGCACTAATTAAAATATTTTTCAATAGGACTATTCGTGTGGCTGTTCTTCCTTGCTCTGAAAGCACAAGCTGTTTGTTTCGCACGAGACCCATGGACGCTTCCGACAATCTTATATACAATGAAATATTTTGGGTTTCAATCACTTACGCTGCTTTACGTCAGAAGACTTTAAGAGTTGATGTTTGCACTGTAGATAAGTCCCACCTCGAGGAGTGCCTGGTTAGCATTCATTTCTGTGAATCTTTTTCCTATTTTCTCTTTTCAGTTTAACAGGTATCTAGTGTTTAAGAAATGTAAGATTTGGCTGCTGTTAGGCAGTCTTCCTATATTGTCCTCAGCTGCAAGATCCTTTAGATATGGCCATTTTCTATGTTGGAAAATCCCAGTTATAGCAAAGGGCAGTAGATAAATATTTACATTACAAAACCATTATGGGGTTTTACCTGACTGCCAGACTCAGTTCATAAGGAAAGGACAATTTGAGCATGATTTCTTAAGGAAATGTTTTGTGTAATGTAGTTGCAAACAAACTCCTTTGTTTATAAGATTTTTAAAACCAACCTATAGACTTTTCTAATGAAGGGGAATCTCTATTAAATTTCCTAGATTTCATAAAATTACATGAGAAATGACCATTCTTTCAAAGTCTATAGATTAACATAATTTATTAAAAATTATGACTTTTCTTAAATCTTTTTAGTTTGAGTCTTGCTTCCCTTGTCCAGTATTATGTTAGTAAACAAGCTGGTTGCTGTGGAATTACTTCTGGAGTAAATTACTACTTAATGAGCATGTCTTCATGTGCTATTCATGTGAAGCAATAAACTCTGGTGCAGCTCACACTGGAATTTATTGCTACCGTGTGCTGCGTTTAGACGTGCACCCAGGTCTGCAGCACATTGTGCCAGGTCAGAGCAGCCCCAGTTGACAAGGACCCGAGGGGGTCAACCTACCAGCCTGGGGCTGCTCCGACCCAGCTCAACGTGCTGTGGAGGGTACTGGAGCACAAGGGTGTTTTGGTGCAGGGCTAGCCAGCAGGCAGCCGCCTCACTGAAGCACCCCCATAACCCAGCTAGCCCAGTCAGCATCTACATTAGCATCTAAATAACACCACCATGAATAGTACTTGTGTTTAAAAGTGCTTATCCTATGCTCGACAAGATTCCTTGGTTGAATTTGATATCTTTTATTAGACCAACCCAAATAGTTGGAGAAAAGTTATTAAGCAAGCTTGGTGGCATTTATTAGTTTATTTCACCCTAATAGGGTCACATGTGTAGATGCTGAGACGTTACACCAGAGCTAATTCACTTTGCAATAAATGTCTTGTGTGGGCATATCCAATATGAGTAACATTTTCAAAACTAAGTCCAGAGTCACTGCAAAGCAACAGAAATGCAAATTGTAGTTGATTTTTTCCAAGACTCTTTCATGCATCCCTTAACAGATGCTGTTTTCTACATATGCTTTTGGCAGCTCCCAGCCCCCCTATTTGTGGTGTTTATGCATTGCTGCCTTCACCTGAAAGCATACTTTAACTAAAGAAATAACATCTACATTCAAAATAAGGATTTCCCATTTGTCAGCCCCCACATTTCTAATGTATGTGCTTGGGCAGCCTCAAATTGGGCTAAATTTAATTGCAGGAAATCTGTTCAATGTAAAATAAAACTAACCCAGCTGGGGCAATAGCATACACCGAGACACAGATAATATACTTTGCAATAGTTACACTTCCATCTATCTGTCCTGAAATATTAAAAAAAAAAAGGAAACTGAATGAGGATTACCAATGGGTAGTATAAGAATGGACATAAAAGCGAGTGGAATCTTTAGTTCTGAACTAAAGCAATTCTGTCAGCCCTGGGAGGTTTCCTGAAATGGATTTTTCTTCCATATTTGTTTAATTCTTTCTACTTGAAATAATGTGTGCAAGTTACTATGGCTGCAGCATAATTGTTCATTATTCTTGATGCTTATTTATACACAGCAGCTGAAGTGAATCTTTCTGTTCTTGTACTGGAAGCTCCCAGCAATATGGTTCAATTAATTTAATATCATTTGACTGTCACCAATATGATGTCTGAAATGGCATAAAAATGTGAATTGATGGTGATATTTTATTTTTCTAGACAAGTGAACCATAACCTCCTGAAATCTTGATTCTTTTTCTGTTACATATTCCTGTTGGGATTTTATTGTCACAGTCTCTTCGCTCTGATATTACACAGCAGCTATTTTCTTGCTTCCATATAGGGTGGAGCACAGATTAGTCTTGCTGAGATATGTAGATCGGGAGAGAAGTCAACACGTTGGTACAACCTTCTTAGTTATAAATATCTGCAAAAGCAAAGCGGAAAAAATAAACAAGAGGACATCTGTTCTGAAGAATCCTGCGCTGAAAAAACAGTAAGGACAAATGCTGTGAAAGGAAGCTAGAAAAACCTCATTTATAACAATACTGAACTCATTGAAGAGAATGGTAGGCTAGAAATTTAAAAAACTGCTGGATTTTTGTGCAGTATTTTTTGAATATGAAAAAGTTATAATACATGGAGTAATAAAACTAAAAGCTGGATGAACGGTGTAATCTGATGTTTATATTTTTCTTTGGTCTATTATGGGTAATGTGAATCAGTTACACTGATATGGAGTTTAAGAATAGGTTTTAAATGCAACCTTATCCTCTAACAGGATTCTGTATCAGCTCTTCTGGAACAGACTGCTGTTGAACTGGAAGCAGTAGAGAAGAAGCTAGAAGAAAGCAGAAGCACTTTAACTAGTGGAGAGACTTGGTAGGTGGTGTTTGGCATCTTTCGCTGAGTATCAGTGGATTCTGTAGGTCTGAAGGAAGCAGTGCTTTCTTATGTGAGGATGTCAGAATTTTAGAGTTGAACTTTGGAATGTGTTGGGTAGCTGAGAGAAGTTCTTGAACTTTGCATGAAGCTTACTTCTGACACCTCTTTCTACAACAGTAAAATCACCCTGTAGCTACAGGGACTGAAAATATGTTTGGGTAGGGAGAATGAAAGCTGGCAACATTAAAAACTGGAGGATATGTGGTTTGTAGTGCCTTATTGGCAAATGTGAAAATTCATTTTCCAGTTCAAAGGATTTGCAAGGAAACCCTTTTTATCATTTGTGGTTTACATGCATCTGTATGTCACTGAAATTCAAAGCAGACCCTGGCCTACTCCAAACTGTCTGGCTTGATGAAGAATCTACTGAAGTATATAACTGAGCAAAGATTAAGTGAAAGGTTTAAGATTACTGTTTTGTGGTGTATAGTTCCAGCTTTCAACCCCAGAGAACCTGGGGTTTGGCCATACTTTGAAATTCAGCCTCATTTAATGCACCTTCCATTTGGGTAACACTTAGCCATATCCAGCATAAAAGACTCCGTACAAATGTATTCTACCATAGCAATTGCTTTACTATAGAAGATGAGAAAAATCCAATAACTATCTTAGTGCTGGTTCCTGTATTCCTTCCCATAACATTTTGTTATTCATGTTTCCTGGAGTATCATGATTTTTGTTATACATGCATACAAATCATGGCACTAAAGGTGCATTTGGTTCCACATACCTGGGACATGAATTAGCATCAAGAATGCTAATAGGATATTGGGTCCATCCCAATAACAGAAGCAGTTTATGTGGCAGGCAAGATGAAGAGGTTGGTGAGCAAGAAGAACAAGATGGGAACAGTGAGAATGAAGCAGAAGAGGAAGAATTTTATGCCGTAAAAGCACTCTGGGACGCAGAAGAGAATCCAGAAATCCAGCTGCATTCTGAGTTGACAGCAATAAAGGTAAAGTGCAGAATTATGGTGCCTCTACTGTGCGACTAATAAACACTTGCACACTATGCTGTCTTGGCTCTACTAATGACACAACAGGATACAGTAAACATTTTGTCTTTTTCTTGACTTCTTAGGCAAAGATACAGAGTGTGCTGTTTCTTACAGCTACAGTTCTAGCATCATAACTGTTCTAGAGGAAATAAAAGTAGGGAAATTTGGTGGGATGACTTTCCAAACTGTATCATGTGTGAATGTTTTGGAAACATTTTTGCCTATTTAATTTGAATTTTGCTTGCAGTAGGCAAAAAGACTTTTAAGAAACTTATTTAAGGCAAATTCACCAAGTTAGCCTTGTTCTTTTGCAAAAGCCATTTACTTGTATTGTGACCATGTCACGTCTGCTATTGCACTGTGACCAAAATAAAGTCCCAGAAACCTCTCTAGTATTTGTTCAAGCAAATCAGGAAATCAGGTCATTGAAGGTGCTTCCTTGTACAGTTACGTGATTTGGTTGGGCAAATACAAGAAGTTGTTGATGCAACAGGCCTATATGTTTGTATCAAGTTTGTTTAAAGGGAAAGCACAGTGAATTTGTTTTGGTACAGCAAAATGTTCCTGCAAAAAGTTTTTACCTTTTTGCCCTTTTATTGTTTTGTTTGGGACTTTGCATGTCACTGACTAAATGAAATTTTAGAATTCTATAGAGAACCACAATTTTTTGTTTGGATCTTCATATTTCCTGGCATCATCCTTTTTCCTTCTCAAATTTTTTGGGGGGCCCTATATTGATTTCCGATACAACGTTGACTAGACTAGCATTGAATTAAGCAGTTACTTGAAAGTTTTTGATAGTGCCCTATCTCAAATAATATTTGAACCTCAAGGTTAAATAACGTTCCCTTTAATGAAACATTGTTTAATCCAAAATGTCTTTTGTCTCCTGGTATTGAAAAGAATTCCTCATTGACAGTTTTAATTGGCTAATGTTGTCAGCCAAAGTGACTAGCATTTTGGATCTTATGATGCAATTCTGAATGCAGTCATTGGCTAATCACCCCCCCACTTAATGACAGGTTTGTTTGAATGGTGATTTTTGTGCTGAAGTTGACTTGTTTTTTCCTGCCAATTCTGGGTGTTCGGTAAAAATGGATAGGTATATTTAATGGATAATCTAACTTGCAGCATTTAATCTGTTATGCTGGCGTATATCTGAAAAGTTCAGTGGAATCACTCTGTTTACACCAGTCAACCAAGTTGTTGGGAAATGGTGATACAGTTGTTGAACTCCTCCATAAGTTTTCTCACAAGTGCAATACTAATATGTATTGCATAGGCAGAATCAAGAACCACAGCTTTGTCTGTTCCTTCTGATCTGAAAGAAAAAGTGGGATTTTGGGCTGCAACACAGAAAGGTTGCTAGTTGGTGCTAGGTGGTAGTATGGGTGTGTTGGTGAAGTGGCACTTACATCAAAGTAGTATTTTTGCTTTTTCTTTCAGGTGGATAAGGAGACTAACACAGAGAGCCCTGCACAGTCTTCTACTGTAGTACGTCCAAAAGATAAAAGAGGAGCTAATCCACCACAAACACAGTTTATTAGAAGTAGCACCATCATCCGCTCAAAAACATTTTCTCCAGGACCACAGAGTCAGTATGTGTGTCGGGTAAGGAAAACACAGCCCCAGGTTTCATAAATGTTGGTCTTCCTAGAATGTCTGTACAGTAGCTGATTTTGTTATGTAATAATAATCTGCACTGAAAATTGCAGCAGATTGCCCAGCACCTCCATCCCATTCCCCTTCACATAGGAACTGAGGTGGGCTGCTCCCTTAACTGGCATCTTTCATCAGATCACTATAGACCACTTTACAAGCATTAACTAACTGTGGTATATGATACAGAGGGATTACTATACCCACCCTTGAAATACAGCTACCTTGGCAGCACATGATTGCAACACAATACAGGTCAAGAAGTGGGAAGAGAATGGATGTAACTGAAACCCTAAGATGAGCTTAGGTAGGCTTAATTGGAACTTGGCCAGGAGCCTGGCCTTATAAAGGAAAATATATAAAGGGGTCATATCCTCACGCTGCAAAAGAGTTGGTAAGTTAGTAGCATGGCATCCCTTAACTCCATATGAAGATGTTATTGACAGACATTACAGAAACAGCTGATTATTCAACCCCATATAATCAGCCACAGATCTATAACAGTCCCAGCAAGCAAGCTTCCAGAAGGAAATGCCGGCACACTCAGACTAATATGGCCTTCCATTCTTTTGTTCTGGTAGTGAACAGGCAGGATAAATTCCTCATGGACTTCCAGACAACTTCCTCATACAGAACTTCTGGACCTGCCACTGGTTATCCCATGTCTGTATGACTGTAGTCCCACTACTCTGCTTGTAGTCTTGGCCTAGACCTGACACTCAGCACAGGGGGTTTCCTCCACAATTAGAACCAATTTACGTGCCCTACTTAAGGAAGGACACTGTACTGCTTTCTCTATCCCTCTCCCTATATTACAATTGACTAATTCATAGAAGTTAAGGATGGAAAAAGTCTGTGTTGCTTTAATTGATACAATATTGTCCACTATTTTTATTTTTCTTGTTTTGTGTAGGGTAGAGGCAAGGATTTGTGGTGATACCTTTTATTGAGCCAAACTGCATGGTCAGGATAGATTTAGATAAGCTTTTGAATGCAATTTATCCTTTTTTAGATCAAGTGAGGAGGACAGTGGGATTAAGCTCTGATTATGCTTAGTTCTAATGGAAGGTATTATCCCTTGCCAACTTTTCCCAAACAAAGGTTTGACGAGATTGGAGCTAGGGTGGGCTAGGAACTATAGCAAAATAATTTGTCCCATGATCCCAGTTTTGGGCAATGGAAGGATGTTATTGCAGTGTTACAGTGGTTTGGTTATTGTATAACTATGTATCTTTCTACATATTGGCTGTTGTGTATCTAAGCAGTGTTGAACTGTACATTTGTTTCATAATGATTTCTTTTTTATTTTCAGCTTAATCGTAGCGATAGTGATAGCTCAACACTGTCCAAAAAACCACCCTTTGTGCGAAATGCTATGGAGAGACGCAGTGTCAGAATGAAACGGGTAAAAATTTTGGTTTACTGATTCTTTCCTCCACAGACACTCAAGAAAGCCAATACATCTTTAACATACTTGTGTGAGTTGCCAGCTGACAACTCTATTTATTAAAGAAGGGCTAGCAAACAGCATGTTGATTGCAAAACACTTAGTTATGACCTACCACTTTAAAATGTTCCCCTATGAGCCTAAAGACCCTTTTTTAGTCTGTCAAATGATAATGGAAATGTCTGCTCTCATTTTTTTTTGTTGCTAGCACTCTCAGAATACCCCCTTGAAAAAAATCCCCCCTCAACATTTAGAAATATGTATTAAATATTTAGATATAAAATATTTAAATTTGACATGTACATTGTGCTCATAGGGTAGAAACTGATGTCATTAAACCAGAGCAGATCAGCTGTGGAAGAATGTTCCACCACAGCCAACCTACTTTAGTGAGCAAAACACATGTCAACCCTTGTCCTGCATTAGTCTGTTGTCCTCCCTTGCTTCCCTGCAGCTTCTTGTTGGGACCTGTGTGTCCAGGTGAAGCAGTTTGGCACAGGTCCCAACAAGGAGGTACAAGGCAGTGCAGGAACTGGGCAATTCCCAGCATCCCATGCCCCCATGCTGGGATCAGCTCTGAGTCCTGCATCACCCATGCTTCACACAGAGGTATGGGAATGCCTGGCTCCCAAACTGCCCCATACCTCTATTCCAGGACCCATGCTGACCCATGCCCTGGCATAAAGTGTGGGTGGTACAGAACCTAGCTTGTGTGCCTCACATGGAGGCATCTCTGTAAGTGGGGAAATCCTGGAGTTTTTTTGCTTAAGGAGATGTGCCCCAAGATGTCTCTTTTTAAGCAGAGAAATCAAGGTGGGGGTTTTGGGGATGTATCTCCATAAGTGGGTAAATGCCAGCTTTCCCTGCTTACTGACACATGCTCCTAGGATTCCCTGGGATGTTTCTCTGTAAGGAGGGTAAGCCAGGCAGGTGCTCCACAGGCTAATAGGACCCAGTCCTGCTCAGAAATTCCCAGGATGTGCAGGGTTGGGCCCTTCAAGCTTCTGGAGCACTTGACCACGGTAGCTGGAGAGTATGGGCAGGTCCACCTGCCTGTGCTTTCCTTCCACGAAGCAAATAGATCTCTGTTGCAATACAGTAGCATAGTATATTAACACCTATGTTGCGGCTACAAATTTTGAACATCTGTGGCATGACAAAGTGCATGGACATCTCTGTCCTGCATAGGCAACTTCTGTTTCCTCCCTTACCTGTGCACAAAGAATTGGTTGGACAAGTTCTACAAGAAATTTTAAAAAGTGGTTTTCCGGATACTTGGCAAAATGTTTACTGCTGGCTTAACAGAGCTCAATGAAGCTCCACCCCCATAATGGTAGATGGAAATACACACCTTACCTAATCCTCCATGCAAACTGCCCTGTTGGTGAGGTCAGGAGTCTATTGACCTGAATTAATGTTTCTTGTTTTTGTGTTTTATTGCTGCCTTCTGTAATATTCGGAAAGGCGCTTAAGTGTTAAGGTAAAACTGGATTCTGAGCCCTACTCTACATCACAGACCTGCTGGGTAGCGCCTTACATTATAGCTGATGTGGTTATATCAGCAGAACCCTTAGTTTTGGTGTGGACATAACTGCCGGTAACTCAGTTGTAGCTGTTTTAGTGTTGATGTAATTCTGGGGACAGAAAAGCTCCCTCTCTAAGCTTCTGAGTATGACGCATCTGCAATGGAGGCCTTTACTGTAAAATACGAGTATCCCCAATTGTGGAGCCAAGCCCTTAGTAAGGTGTGGGAGGAAAGTACTACTTATTTCAGCCTGTTGCCATGCTAACTACAGTGCTAAATATAGACAGTCACAAAGCCTGGGGCTTAATCAATTTGAATCTTTGCAGGTTAGTTTAAGCTGCATGGGTTGAACTGATGTGAAGCAAGTGAACAGACATTCACTTTTGATTCTGAAAATGCTCCACATGCCTCCAGTGGCCCAGGTCAGAAGCTGGGGTACTGTGAGTGAATTTATCTGGAGGGAATCTGGGACAGAAGTTCAATAAACTGATTTAACCTAAATCAAATAAGTCTGATACTACGTTCATCTAGGTTTATCCTAAACCAGTTTCAGCCATTTTGGAAGCTGTTTATGTGCACTGGAACCTCTATTGTGTTAGATTTAAGCCAGTTTCTGATCGGTGTATGTGTCATTTCTGTCCCTAGAAGCCTCTGGTTTGCCTTTGATGTAACTAATGCTGTGGGAAACTGCTGCATATGCAAGTTTATTTATAAGATGTTGAGGGACTGTGAAACTGCAGGTGAGCAGATGTTGCAAAGCAGATCTGCCAAGAGTTTGGCGTTCATCTCCAGAACACTGCACTCATGAGGGAAAAGGAGTATTAGGACATCTGAAACATATGCATTAAAGTACCCTTCAGATGAGGGCAGTTTTATCATTCTTCATCACATTCATAAAACTTTTCCATTCCAGCCTTCGGTTAAGTCCTTTGGTGCTGAGCGTCTAATCCGCACTTCACTAGACCTAGAACTAGACCTGCAGGCTTCAAAGACCTGGCATGATCAGTTAGTGCAAGAGATCTCCGTATTGAAAGAGCTGAAGGAACAGTTGGAACAAGCTCAAAGTCAAGGTGAAAAAGAGCTGCCACAGTGGGTGAAGGATGATGAAAGATTCCGGATTTTGCTGAAACTGGTAGAGAAGCGGGTAAGTAACTCATGTGTTCAACGTATTTTACTAAATACATTTTTCCAGTGCACTGGAGACTGGGAAGGGATGCCATCTTCCCAATGGTCAACTTGTTTGACAGAGCCTTATATTGAAATTTCCATTCTATTAAGTAGTGGCAAGTAGAATTCTAGCATTACAAATACTAGACCCTTCCCTAACTCATTACTATGGATAGTGAGATAACACCATGTAACTTCCACTATAATCTCTCTCTCGGTACGAGGCAAGGAACCACAGGAGCCACAGGCTCCTGATTCTTGTCACCTAGCTTGCAGCTCCTTTCTTTTTACATGCTTTTCCAGAATTCTGCACATGAAAATTTAGTTTACCTTTTCAGGAACATGTAATAGTTGAAAAAAACACAGTGACTTTCTAACAAAAAAAGGCTTTTTAAGGTTGCTAGCATAAAAAGAATACAGATCTGTGAAACAATGTACATCTTGTGGACAGACTAGTAAATATGTATATGTATTTTTCTGCTTCAGTTTCCTTCCTCCTCTTAAACATTCTTTGGGTTTAGGTCAAAGTTCTCTAAGGAGTCTAGCCTTCCCTCTCCTGCATATGACTTCATGATCATTGAGTCTCTCTCCTCTGGTACCAGTTCTCTTTATCTGCTGGCTCTGCAATTAAAACCTTCTTTATTATGAGGCATTCCCCCATGTTCCTGTAGTCTCGTTTCCCCCGCCAACACACACACATTTCCTGTGTCCCTGACCATATTTCCCCCAAGTCTGTCAGGTTCTCTATGTTTCTCTGGCATAACATACAGTTTTTCTGTTTCTGAGGCAATTTCACTTCTTCCAAGCTACCCTCTCCAGACCAGCTTGACTGGACCGGTTTCCTAGGTTTCAGTCATCCAGTTGGGCTCCTTGGGAATCGAGGTTTAAAGGCCACCTTCCACCCCGACCTGGGAGATCCATGGTACCCATTTAACAATGTATGGCAGAGTCCACAAACATTGCAGGACTCGATGCAATTTCGTAAGAGCTTCTAGAATTCCTAATTGGTACACAACACATTTTGGAAATTTGTCATATGAATTTTGCTGCCAGCACACACTGGGGATAGTAACAGCAAAGTAGAGAAGCTTAAGGCTTTATGTAGAACTTTATAGTAGATGTTCAATTGGAATGGAAGTCTTGTGTGTCCTACCTTATCAACAGGAAATGATTTAGGAACAATAATCATGCAACTTAGTGCTGGCACACAGGGATGGTACTGAAGGCCAGGCTGGGGTAGAATGCCTTTCTTCCATCTTATTAAACTTGCATGATTTCTGTGTGACAGTCCTAAAAGTACCTACTGTCAAGGGGTGGCTTACAAGGCAGTGATGAAAAGGGTGTTGATGGAAATGGGAAATAGTGTTTTACTACAAAACAATTCTGTTTCTCTTTGTGAAGATTCTTTCTGCCTGAAATGCATTATCATCTCGCTGTAGAGTCTTAACAACAGCGGAATAAAAGCTGTTGGAATAAACAGACTTCCAACAGACTCTCCAGACCAGCTTTTGAAGCACTGTTTTGTTCCAGCTTCTGTGGTTCATAACTCTATTCTAGATATTGTCAGAACCTCTTTTTATTTTCCTCCTTCAACTTGCAAATAACCTCTTGATGTGATGAGCTTGTCAGTGTAAGGTAGAATTGACTGGTATCTTTTATGTTGCACATAAGGTTTTACTGTCTTTATGACTCAATTAGGCACAGAAAACAGAACATAAGTGTGAGCAGAAAGCTGATAAAATGATGAGAGCAGCAGCCAAGGATGTACACAGGTTACGAGGACAAAGTCGGAAGGAGCCCCTGGAAGTACAGTCATTCAGGTAGGACCATCTTTAAAGGACAAAACGCTGCTGCCAAAAAATCCCTACCATTTTGTTCTAGGCAGTTTCACTTACCACCAAGTGCACTACACTTTGCAACAGACAGTTTGAGTTGCAGGTTTGTTTTTTTTTTTTTTAAATATCCTAGGATAAAATCCTGGATTCACCAAAATCCAGCCCCAAAGCTTGAATGGGTTTCGGTGGCAGTAGGATTGGACTTGCGTGCTGCCCTTTTCAGGCAGTAGCACAATACCGCTTAGTTTATGAGATACCTTTGTTCCAAAACATTCATTTTCTGCTGCCTTACTATAACATAAACTTATGAAACCAAAATAATATGATAGGGTGCTTATACACACGATGGGGGGGTCAATTTGGTTTAGTTCTCCCTAAATTGAAACGGTGGGTTTTTAAAAATAGTGTTTTAAAAACCCACCATTTCAATTTAGGGAGAACTAAACCAAACTAAACCCCTGTGGCATGTACACAAGGGTAGGGGCCTGATCCTTAGAGCTTACCTGCCTCTCCCACAGCTGGGTTGGAGGCAGGGGGTGAGCTGCCAGTGGGCTGTGAGCAGTCCCTGAGCTGCGGCGGGGGCCAGTGCTTCCCTCCATGGTGGTGCCCCCCCAAGCGGCACCCGCCTGCTGGCATCCAGTCCAGGGGACACCCGTCGTGCAGGGAAGCACCAGGCTGCCGCACAGCTCAGGCAGGCAGGCTCCAGGAGGAAAACAAAATGATCAGGTTCCTTGCTGCTTTTTTTTTTTTTCTTCAGTCAAGCCTGCCTGCATGGGCTGCCACCGAGTCACACAACCCCTGAGCTGAGCAGGGCCCAGTGCTTCCCTCCATGACTGCGGTGACCCCCTGGGATCGCCTAGGCATGTGCAATCCGGCGGCAGCTCGCAACCCCCCGCCCCCTGCCACAGGGAGAGGCGGGTAAGCTCCAGCATTTCTGCACCATCCCTGCCGCCTTCCCACTACCTGGGACTGCCCGGCAACAGCTGGCTTGCCCTTGGGGCAGAGCGGCAAGGCGGCAGGAGGGTGGCTGGGTGTGCTGGCAGCAGAAGGTGGCAGGGACAGTGCACAGGATGCTGGAAGTCCGCCAAGCCCAAGCTTCCCCAAGCACATCAGCTTACAGCACCCTGTTAACTGTTGCACTTTGTTAGGTAGCAAACTAAAACATCTCAGAGGTGTTTTATCTTGCTACATTACAAAGTCATTAAAGTGGAATATGCTGCCAAGAATGCAAACAGCAACACCATTAAAGCAGAATATACCCCAAGTGGGCAAACAGCAATGTCATTAAAGCAGTGCAAAAGGGCATTTAAGCCGCTTTAAAGGCCAATTTTGTTGTGTGTACTAAGGGCCATATTTGTTAGAGGTGCAGTGATACATCGGTCCATACCTTATTGGCTCTGAAAAAAGGAAAATTGCCATTATCAGCAATCATCTTTTTTTTGGTTGATGTGGCTGATGTCACCAATAAATGCTGTATGAATGTGCGCAGCTGCAGCATGCACACGGCCAGTGCAGCCCAGCAGTTTGGAGAGCAGCATATGGCTGGTAAGTCTATATGGAGGAAGGGCCTTGGGGGGCAGATCGAGGCCCCTGGAGTGAGGGAGGGAGCGGGGCTGGGGCAGACGCTGTCCAGCTGGAGCAGGGCAAGGTGCAGGATAGAGCTGTGGCTTGTCCAGGGAGTGCAGCTCCCGCCACTGCATGCACCATGGGGGAGGCATGGGGGTCACGTGTCCCTGTATCTGTGTGCAGGGTGAGAGCAGGCTGTCGCTGTGGACTGAAGCTAGAGGCTACACCAGGCTTTTCCTGGCAGCTGTGCTTAGGCCAGGCGAGCAATGGTGACGCTGAGAGGGGGAGCTACGGCAAATTCTGGGGTGGCTATAGCACCCCCACCACATGCCCCACCCTGAGCATAGCCCCAGACCAGCCCCCCCTCTC